AGCAATAGAAATAACATCCCATATGCCTACTTCGGTTTTGGAGATACTCAATGGAGCCATCTATGTACAAATGGCCGCAGCATATTTTAGATTGAACAGCATAAGCAATGCTTTAAACGTTATGGAAAGAGCCAAACAATGTTTAGAATCTTATTATCCTTCTACACATCAATTATTCGGTAGTTTCGACTTTATTTATGCCTACTATTTGATAACTAGTAATAAATCTTCTCTAGCTATTCCATACTTGCAGAAAGCATTGGAAAACCCACATTTTTCTAAAAATGACAATTTTCTCAGTGTTGTTTGCACTTTATTAGTAATGGGTTATATGGATACTTACAATCTAAATCTTGCAGAAGAGTACGGTTATCAAGCTGGTTCACATATATTGTCGGAAACTGTAAGATCTCAAAATCCGGATCTATCAGAAGTGATATCGGAATTAATGAGCGTTGTTCTAAGTAGAAATTCAAACAAGGCTCATCAATATATCCGCAAAATCATGCAAATAAGTCAAGTATTGCTTTCAATCATTAATCGGAATACTATTACGCCTTCTGAATCTACTAATGAACAAACTTGTACCATAGATGAGTTGATTGCTTTTGCTGATCATTATCGTCATCAACAAGATTATGTAAATGCAGAAAGACGTTTTACGAAGGCTCTTGATAAAACAACAGAAATCAATTCAAAACATGTCTGGAATATCTATAGAAAAATGACAAGAATGAGTAACCATGGTCATTATCAAGATTATTTTGCTGTATTATATTCGAAATATGATGATGATAATCCAAAACATTTTCAATTAATTTCTACCATACAAATAATCCTCTACAAATTATTTTTATCTGAAAATGACTTTAAAACTGGATTCAATTGTTTAATACATGGAATAGTTATGAAAATTAAATTTATACATCATCAGACCAGTCATATTGATTCAAGATATATTTTAAATCTATTTTATAAATGTACAGATCAAGAACAAATTATTAAACTTATATGTATATTAACGAAATTAATTGAAACACATCTCACTAGTTTATCCATGGTTGAACAAAATTTTATTTCAACATATTTTGGTTTTGATAATCTCTACTTAAATCTAGCCGAAATTATTCATTGTGAAGAAATCGATAGTATTTTAAATGAAATTAAATCGAAAACCTTTTCTAGTTTTCTACATATGTTATTACAACTTCTTTGTCAGAGTATACCTTCACCGAAGAAATCAATATTCTCACTTAAATCTCAAATTCTACAATTTCTTCAGAAATATAATGACGAAAAAGCACCTTTATTCTATTTAATGAAACTATTCGAATCTTTACTCATTAATGATGCTCAGAGTTTCTTGTTCAACCTTGAACAGCTACGACTATATACAATTACTTTCGAAAATGACGAAAAACTTAGAGAAAAATTATCCAATGTCTTCGAACAATTAAAACAAGATAGGTTACGCGAATTTTTACAAAATATATTGCAAGAGCCTATTGACTTAATGACTGATTCTTAATTTTTATGATGCGCTTTACTTCAGTAAAGGACTAAATAAATTATTTGAGAAGCATTAAAAATGTAATTCTTTTCAGTTATCATAGATATTTGAAGATGATTTATAGAAGGATAAGGGTGTGGGTGGGTGTTAGGAAAAACAAGATTTATACACTCTCACCTACACCCATTTACACTAGAGCTCGTCGGGTTCAAGATTTCGAACCTGAAACCAGACCCAAACTCGGTCGCTTAAATTTTTTGGATTCAAGTACAATGATAAATCACTTTCAACAATATATTCAAGAAGTGTTTTATTGTTTTTCATCTATTTCATAAATGCCTTGATTTTATTTTTCTTTCTAAAACGAACAAGGTTCTGAAAAAATTCACAATATATTATATGCATCAAAGTGTTCTGCAGATCTAGACCCAAACGCACACCCTATTGATCTGCTCTCTTTCACCAACCACATCCTGTGCTCACAATTACATCATGAAACTCTGTAGTTGCGTAACGCAATCTTCCTCATAGTATTAGGGTTAAATAAGTAAGAATTTTAATTAGTTTTGGCGCAGAAGGAGCTAGAAATGACTGCGGCTATGCATCATTAAAGGAGAGAATTCAAAAAAAAAGATGGAAAAATGTTAAATGTCAGAGACGATCATCGTCAAATCTTGAAGTCGTCTTATTCTTAGGATAGAATATTGCAAATATTAGTATTGAATCATACCCAAACTAGTAGTTCTAATTGATATACTATATCTGTTCGATCAAATATCGGAATAAATTGTATTGAAATGCTATTAGAAAGCAAATTCGATGAAAAATGCGAGATTTTTATTCTAAAATTTCTACTTGTCTAAATGTATGAACAACCGAACTCTAACATATTCATATTAGTTTATTCATTTTTTATTCCACTATGTATACAGAGTCAACAATAATATGGCAAACTCGATACGTAATAATGTTGTTTTTGTTCTAAACAAGACACAAAACAGAAGCGAAGCAAAACGGAAATGTAACAATCACTTACTATTAGAATCAGTGCTAGGAATACCCAAGCAGATGACCTGGAACATCATTTTTTAGCTGAATAAGATTGAAAATTTATGTGAATCCAATTTTCAAGTCTTGTTCTGTTACACAATGAGATATAAATATTTAGTTTAATGTTTTGTTGTATAGAAAGTATTAAACACTATTGTGAGTTTCAATTTTTCGACATATTACTTAAGATTAACAGTTCTATGTACAAAACTCTTAACCAATCCATCAAATTTGTACTGATTTTAATCAATTCATAGTGAAACGTTTTAAGAAGTCATATCAGCGTCAATTAAACTCCTCCAATTATGAATGAAGAATATATTCTCTTTACATATTATTTTTGTATTGTAAAGATATTCTAAAAGTTGTCTTTTTCTTCAAAAGATATGTCACTCACGATGAAATAATAGTGGCAGAAAAATTCAAACTGTATATCTCTTTGATACAATGGTATCCAGAGAAAGTTTTGCTTTCTCTACCAAAAAGTAGAGCTTTTTATCCTCGTTCGCATAATTAATAATAGTAAATTTATTGACTGATTATAAGTCATACTGCGCAATAAAAATGAGAAGTGTCCTTTAATAGCATCCACCATTTTTTTCTGTTTTGGTCAAGTAGGAGTATAAAATGCTAAAACCTAGAAGTAGCTCTTGAAATTTAGTTTTTGCATTTATTTTAAGAAAAAAACGCTTCAGATAATGATTTTTGAAACGTTGTACCAGAGCCCATTTTAGCCGTCAAGATGACGTTGCCCATCCGACACTACGCGGAAGTGAAGGGTTGGATTTTGTCGGATTGGTCAATGCGCGCACGCAGATGACCGCAGAACAAATTCTCCACTCGAGAAGATCCTATATGGACTTCTCGCAGGTGTCAACAATGGCTGTCTCAACCTGGAGTATTCAACTTACTGATCGTGAATACATCCGTGGCAGGTAAGTATGCTTAGTGCTGCATCTTTTCGATCAATATATATTCATACATAATGCACAAAATGCACAGTTGACTACTCAAACCAATGAAAAAGAAGAAAGAAAAAGAAAAGACTGACTCATCGTCAATTTTCATGTTTCTCAAGTTGCTTTATTTTTATCGAAATGATGAAATTACTGATAACTATTGCAAAATTATTTCTGTTGTTATTATGAATGGAATTTATTACATTCCATGTCAACGTTTATTCAAGTCTTGGGAAAGGATCTACAATAGATGTTAGAACATGCATTTAAAAAAAACAAAGAATTATTGTCTATTATCGATCGATGAAAATAGTCGCTTTTGAATTGGCATAAATAACGCTAATATATGAGTAGTCTTCTTCGAGGAAAGCACAGATTTTTTAAAAGTAAATGGGTGTTTTAAATTCGAACCTTAGTCGAAGTCTCTCTCTATCAATTGGAAGAACTGTATTGCAGTTAATTATTTCTGATATTGTATAGACTAATTCTAAAATCTTTGAAGTGGGCGAAAAAGAAATGACGTTAGCAATGAGACAGATAGGTTTATGGATTTTATTATAATGCTGATTACGTATTGGTTTTCTTTATCATTTGAGACTTTCTTCACAATTTATTATCGATGCATATATAGTTTTTGAAGATACGCACCAAAGAATAGTGAAATATGAATTTTACTATGCAATCATATTGTTTGATTAGATTTACATGTAAAAATCTTCGTTCAGACTATATGAATATATATTGAGCTCAATTATTGTACCATTCATAAGAACTAGATTATTCATATGTTAGAAATAAACAGCTCGTATGTCGTCATTACAGACGTACTTTGTACTTTTTTTTAACATAACTAAAATGGATTGCGTTTCATTCTGGACTCCGACGCAAGCTTTTTCAATGCAATCGTTCACCATAAAAGGTATTAATACATATTTAACAAGAATTTCTTTCTGAAGTTTTCAAATTTTGCCATTTTCCTTATCAAAATGAAAGCAAAATGAGCGATAAACTTGAAAAAGCAAGATACAAAAAACTTATGCTTTTAGTTATTGAGTAGCAAAGACTTACATTCGAGTCTACTGGCAATCTCTGCTTTCACAGAAACCAGTTTAAATATGTATAGTTGATCATACTGTATAAAAATGTTGATACATCAACTGTTGAACATTTTTATATTTGTAAGCTGACGAATGCGTTATCTAAAATAAAGCAAAAATTTACTTTTGATAGAAGCTTACTTTTAAAGTCTCGATTTATAAAACTATTTCGAAAGTTCCTTCACTTTTCTATGAGAAGAGCAAAAAAGGAAATAGAAACATGAGACGGTAATGGAGAAAATATAATACATTCTATGTTCAAGCATGTTTAGAGAACTTTTTCGAAATCGTATTAACCTTTTTTGATGCGTATATGAGACCGATATTCTTTCAGTGACCGTCTATTCATTATATAGGTTTATAGAGATACCTGTATTGTGTCACTTTATTCACATAGAACTCTTCATATTTTCAATAAAAATGATATCATGATGATGCTCATTTTCATTATTAATTTAACAATTTTAATAAATATGACAATTCTCAAATGTGATTTTTATTTTCGTCTACGATTGGTTATTTTTGAATAAGATTTAAAATAAAATTTCATCGACTTTGTTGTTTATCGATATTTATGCACTCTTCCACCATATCCGTTTTTGAACTTGTCGACTGTTGGCCGTTCTGGCCGAATGTTAAAGTGTTGAAATCGTACTGATTGCTTTTCTTGACTCTTTAATTCATCATAAATTTTTTGACAATTTAGAATGCTACAGGGTGTAAAATTTCTTTCTGATGGTTGATAATATGCCAATTCATTATAGCGAATGGCAGACTGCTCTGACCGACCAAACAAAAAATTTATAATTGGAGATTTACCAATTCCAGTTGGTCCAAACAAAATGATCCTGACATCATTCTGAATGTTGGTTAAATGAGAATATGAGAGTGTCTCTTTCATATTAGATAGAGGATTGAAAAATTTTGGAATAGATTGAGTTTTTTTGCCTTCCTTGTATGTGCCACATTGTCTCCAATAAAACATATTATTAATATATCGAAGTGAGCATTGACTTTTATCATTCACATCAGGATTTGAATCCTCATTACATGTAGTATCTACTTTGTAAATAAGCAACTGTGCTTGCTGCTTCAAAGTAAACGAAGAAATATAAGATTGTATGACTGTTTGCCAAGTATGATGACACAGACGTGGACCAAATATATTGTTGTGCGAGAAAATAAACGTGACCAAATTGAAAACTTTATTTCTTGTTTCAATATCATCGAGTTTATATTTATTTTTACTAAGAACAATAACAAACTCAGTAGCTATGTCATGCTCATCAGAGTAGTTAGCTCGTCTAAAGCGACAGCCATTGGCGCGAATCTCTCCATTTGCAGAACGATCTAATGTTGAATACTTGACTTTCAACCACGGAATAGGCAAAGGATCTATGCATCGAAAATCATAGAGTTCTAGCATTCTGAGGACACTATTATGTTGATGTAATTGAGTAAACAAAAATGATGATCCTTATGCCGTGATTGAATAAACAATAGGCATTAGCCATGCATATTGAATGTGAGATGATAAGGGTGTGGGTGTGGAGTGTGGGGTGTGGCTGTGGGTGTGGGTGCGGGTGTGAGTATGACTCGAAATTACATCCACACCCCAAAATCATCAAATTTTCGATCAGTCCTCGACCTCTTTTACGAAGTAGATTATCGAAGAAGTTTCCATGGTTTTATAGTGAAAAAAGTGTGATTTAAGCTACATTTTGGCATAGTTTGAGTTGAGATTACTGTGAGAATTGATGAAAATACGCATAGAAAAAAAAAGTCAATCGATTATTCTCTAAGAAGAATCATCTTTCGTCCTAATGAATTTTATACAGATCGATGACCCAAGTCTTGGTCTTTCAAATAGTGAAAACCGCAGCTCTCTATCTTGTTCCTATCAAAAGCTATT